TACACATGCATATACATATACATATACATGTACATATACATATACATATGTTAAACACGTACATGCATATGTATATATATATATAGATGTATACACATATTCATACATGCCAGGAGTATAAGTGTGGTCCACTGTCTCTTGTATATTCTGGCGTACTGAGGGGATAGTCATGTAATTTCTTTTGGGCAGCATGGCAACACATTCGATAGATGCTCCGACACCTCCTTGCCTGGCTTACAACGACTCTCAAGCCAGGGCACTGTGGATCTGTGCAGAGCATCTCGAACACAAGGCATCCTCGCACTCCATGCAGATGTAGGAGGCCTTCCACCACGAAGAATTATGAGTAGGTCCATATGAGGGACGGGGAGATGCGCAAACCAAACTCCTCCTAGCTTTGCCACACGCCCCCCTCCACACTCCCCACCCACCCAACCCACCACAACCGCCAGCGTAGGAGAGGTTTCGGATAAGGTTCGGCGCTGGGGCAGGTTCTGCAGCATGGCAGCATGGCAGCATGGCCAGGTGCCAGTTCCCTTCGGACTCTCACCCGCAGAGCTACCCTGGCAGTTTCAGTTGGCAACAATGCTACAACTTCTCAGACTTTTTTGGAACGCGAGCACACTGCTGCTTCCAGGGATGGGCCACGGCTCGAATGTACTTCACTCATCGTTTATTCCCTAAGCTCCTAAAGTTTGCAAGGCTACTCTTTGTATGACGTTAAGGCCTTACGAAAAGCTCGAGGCAGACCGTGGCTCTTCCGTACAATGCCACAAGGACACGCCACAGGTCGGACACCACCAGGGCACTCGGGAAATGAGTCGCCCGTTCATTCATCGTCACTAACAGTAGCAGCGAATGTCTACACTCTCTTAATTTTAGAAGGGTGGTAGTAGTTTGCAGGTCATGTCCGGAAACGGGTCGCCGAAGCAGATCCACACCGAGTGCTTCCCAACTCGGCCGCAGAGGCGAGTGTAGCTACCCAACGGGCACGTGAGACCTTCGCATCCCTGCCTTCCCCTAGGCTGACCAGCGATTGCATCTGTTGGGCAATCTTTCGCAGTATCGAGCCTTTCGCGTGGATTAACTGCCAGGGCGGCCGTCTCCAGTCCGCAGTGGGAAATGGTTGTATCTGAGGGCTATTCTGGTTTCGAGAAATCCGGCATCTCCCTGGCAAAGCGAGAGGGATTCAAAAGCACTACATCAGGCAGAGCACCCCACTGCCGTGCCGCCTCTCAATTGGATATCGTCTCGCTAAGGCTGGGAGATTTGACTGCTCGTCATGGCTTACAGCTGTTACATATCACATGACATCTGCTCGTTAAGCCAGTTCACTCCAAGAACATTCATCCAACTGCGGCCAAGTAAACTTGAGCCGATTCTGCCCAGTCTCGCAAACTTTAGGCTTCCGCCTTCTCTTTGGCCTCAGCCTTGGCTTTTGCCCGACCTTTCTTTGGGGCAGGTGCCTCTGCGCTGTCGCTGGCCTTCATCCAGGGCTGCATGCAAAGCCGGCAGGGCGAAAGCAACACGGACGGACTTGCGCCTTGCGCTTGGTAACCTTCGCCTGGCAAGGTGGCGCGAGGGCACAAAGCCTCTCAAGACTCCCTGCTACACCTTTAGACTGCCCTTCCCTCGATTCCAAGTTCCGGTGCTGAGGGAAACTACGAAAAATGAAGCGTGCCCATAGGCCCCATAGTAGTTCCTTTTTGGGATTACCTTATAGGATTCTGAATATGAACCCCAAAAAGGAACTACTATGGGGCCTATGGGTGACCCCTTTTCTGGAAATCCCCTTTCTGCTGATTCTCTTGCCTGTAGCATCTGCTGGAGGTCCTGGCTGGCCTCCTGCTCTGTTGGGCCTTGCCAAGATCTAGCGGAAGTTTAGGGTTTAGGGTTTAGGGTTTAGGGCCATGAATGGAATTGTCCATCAACCTATACAGCAGTATAGTAGCCTAATACAAAATAAAACAGCATACAGGAGTATATAGGAGTAAACAGGTCTCTCTCTCTCTCTATATATATATATGTATGTATATTATGTAATTACACACAAATATATTCTAAATGCGATTACGCATAAATACATTTTTATATGTCTATATACAGATATTGTAGTTCTTTCATTATATACATACATATATGTATATATATATATATATGGGTAGTTCTCTAAATGAGAGTCCCTTTTTAGGTCCCCAATATAGTACGGCACCCTTATAGAAAGGACCCTATAAGGGACCCAAATTTTGAAAACTACCCATATATACACACAGGAGCTTCAGAAACACCTTGGATTGGCCGCTCCGAGCTCCGCCCCCTCAGGCCCAGGAGGCATTGCTTCAGAGTGAAAATCAAAAGAACCCTGGGCAACGGGTTTAGGGGTTTAGGGGTTTAGGTTTAGAGTTTTAGTGTTTTTCTTAAGGGGTTTAGGGTTGCTTGCACCAAAGCATCGGGGGGCTCTCGGCCTTTAGGGCTTCTTAGGCCTTTCTTAGGGCTTCTTAAGGTTTAGGGTCAAGCACCGAGTGCCCGAGTGCCATGCGCAATGGTCCACACTGGCGATTACCTGGCTTCATGCCGGGAATCTTTGCGAACATGACATGTTCTGAATGAGGGCAACCCGAGGTTGCTATGAAATCACACCGCTCCTGGCCGTTACGTCACGCAAGCATGCAGGAACGCGACCCAGAGACAAAGATATACCCGGGGGAGACCATGAACCTGCATCCCAAAGCAGCTGCACAACATCAACAGTTACTCTGATCGGAGCTCCGTCTCGCAAAGTAGAAGCCTTTCCCAAAGTGTCCAAGTACTACTATACTAGCTACTTTGTAGGTATTTGGACCCCAAAGTATACACTATACTATAACTTGGACCCTTTAAGTTTCAAATCCAAGAACCCTCCATTGTGGCACCTGCCTCCTTCGTCTCCTCCCAGGCTTCCAAGCATGGCACAGAACCACCGACCTGACGTTGCAGGGTTGGTCTATTTGGGGGCTTCCGAAAATAGGGGACCCTAATGTAGTACCCTGAGCTTTATTATACCCAGAGCATCGGATATTGAAAT